TTCCTTGTGCATGTTAGTGTTCAAGAGGCATCTGGATAACACAATCATTACCAGTGCTAGGATAAGCAAAGTCAAGACTTCTGCCCAAAGTACTTCTGCTAGAAGATAGAAGAGATGCTGAAGCATAATAAATTGTCCCATATTGGTGTTTAAAGCATAGAAAATAAGAAAACAGTTTGGAACAGTGTTAACATTTAAAAAGACTTAGAACTATTGTATTTGATTGCCCACTTAACACTTCTGAGGTGTACATACCATAATATGAAATCGAGTAACCTTGAAAAGATCATAATTCATTTTCCTTATTGCCATTACCTAAGTCATTAAACATATTCATAAGCCTATTTATACATTTGACTAATTATTTTCAAGGTTTAAGACTTCTGTGATTTCCTAAATTTCCCTGATGTATTTAAGGGGAAACAAAGGTTGGGATATTTGTTTGTTTGTTACTCTTCTATTTCTTGTGAATTCTCATCACTCATGCATTCATTCAGTTGTTCAGTGAATAGCTCATTAATATGATTTCCATCTCTGTATAAAGGCACATGGAAAAAACACTATTATGTAACACTTTGAAAAGAGCTATAAATAGGCTTCTTTAATAACCATAAATTTACATTAGAAAGGTAGATAAACTCTGATGTTAAAAACGTTTATTTTTATCTGCTGTTACTGTTTCATAATCTCAGTGTTATCAGACACATCCTGAATAATTGAGTAAGCCCTTGGTGTTTTATTCTATCTGGGAAAGTCTTGCACATCAAATGGCTTTATAAAATAAAACTACCCATGGCAGCCAGGGCAGACTAGATAAAGCAATGAATGAGAGATTTGGCTCTGATTTAAGTGATGCTTCTAAACAAAAGTGGTCCCTTCCAAATAATTTGAAAGAAATCAACTTTGCTAGAATTTAACACTCTTTCCTTATTACCATTAACTGGCTGCCTTGATTTTAGTAATTTCCTGAATTTATGCCTTCCTTTGGCCAAACATCTTCTCATGACGCAGCTTGGAAAGAAAATACTGGCAGGAATAACGAAAGTGTTCAGTTTTACAGTTGCTATAAATCCATCATTAGTTTTGCAGAGAATAGTTGTAAGGCTGAGAGTGTTCTCATAAAATCTTCAATATGCGTATGAAGACACAAAAAGTCTAATACAGTAAATTGAACATGATAACTCCACCAGTAGAGAAAGCAATAAAGAAATAATTGAAAAATGAATGTTGCTTTATATACTCTGTTTCTATGATATCCATTTTAAAGTAATGAAAAGTAATGCACTTTCTGGCAATTCAATCTCTGTAGCAGCAGATCAGAGTCCTAGCAGAGGCAGGTACCTGAAGCACACATGACAGCAGGATGGATGCAAACTCAGTGAGTTCTGCCAGTCAGACTGAGCAGCTGTGTAGGTTTGCACGTTGCTAAGACCTTTCATACAGTTTTGAAATAATGGCTGATTAAAACCAAACACTCAAGTACAATGATCTGCAAACTACTGACTCCCACCACTCCTGTCACAGCAAGAAGGGATGTTTGTTACAATCTACTTTTCTTCTCTTGGCTGTTAAAGTGCATCTTCATGTATAGGACTACTTTACTTCCATGGCTGGTGCTTCTTTGATGCAGATATTTTACAGGGCTCTGCAGATGTGAGGATGGAACCAAACAGCAAACTAAGCAGGAAGAAAGCAAAGCAATGAAAGCTATAGAAATAGTCAGCCAGGAAATACACATAAAGCACTGTACTTTGAGAGCATAGATGAGTAAAATAGACACAACGAGGGCAGCTCAAGTGTTATCAGATGTGGCCTGATAAGAAGGAAGGAAACTGACCATTTTTCCCAGCTATTTTGCAGGATATAATTTTACTTTCCTTAAACAAAGAACACCAGAAAAAAAAGGTTCTGATATCTCTGATATTCTCACATATTCTCTGATATTCTACTAACAGCCCACTTTCTTTCTCCAACTCCATTAACCTGCCCTTTTTATTTTCTACTCAGCTTGGTGTATCTTCCTTGGATTCTCAACCACGGAATCCACATTCTTAGAGCAGTCTTTCCATTAAACATACTACAATTACAATTACTTGGTTGCTTTTCTTCAGACCTTAATTTATTTGAAAGGTTCATAAAGGCAACAGCACAGATTTTTTTTTCATTGATCTACTATGTGAACTCTGATTTTTCTAGTTTCATGAAACTGTCCATACAATTAGACTGCACACAATGCATTTATCTGCTCATGCAACACAGAGCCCTATATTGTTAACACATATAGACATATCCACGTAGGATATAGTTGAAACTGCTCTATCAGTAATGCTAAGCTTAAACAAGTATACTTCAATAGAATCTTCCAGACCTCATTATGTTACTTGGCTAGAATTTAACTTTTTGAGTTGCAATTGTTCACACTTGGTATTTTGTTTGTTCTGCTTAGAACTACTTTGGAAGATTTAAAATTATTCAGACATTTTAAAATATGAAATGCCTGAAAGTAAAGGCAGGTGATTTTTGGCTAGTTGTTTTTTTTGTTTGTTTTGTTTTTTTCTTTTCTTTTTAAGTAAGCTTTTTCTTCTGAAGCTGATGTTTTCTTTGATCAGAATTCGGCAGATACTCAGGCCTCAATCCAGGAACGTGTACAGATATATGCTTAGTATCCACATCAAGTTGGTTCAGCCTTCCTGAACATAAGCCCTGCAAGCAGTTGTACTGCTAAAACAGGACACCTATTGTACATCCTTGAGATCTGAGGCAGGGGAAGAGCTGATGCAATTCTAAGAGAAGACAAGTGAAAAAGCTGCATCAGCACCTGGTGTTTTGTTATTTACTCAGTGTATTTTGATTGCCTCTCAAATTTCTTTAAAACACAGTTCTTCTACTCAGTCTCAGCTGCTTGGAGAATAACAGTTTATTGTTTGCCTTTATCCTTCTCACAGCTAAACAGCTGATTAAGGTACTCCCCATTATCATTCAATAATTGCATTCTTTGTGACCAAAAACATTTCCATTTTTGCTCCTCATCAGGCTTACTTTTACATTCCTACCATTCCTAAACGTCTCACTTTACAAAAAATCTTTCCTGCTCCTATTGTCTAATGTGCCAGCTAACCACCATTCCACATGAAAATATTTCTACACACTTTGCATTGCCATTTCAGCCTGAGAAAGACGTGCTGACTCCATACTAGTCCCATACCAATATAGAAAAAGAAATCCAAGCACTGCAGCAATTATACTGGCAACCAACAAGTTTAGTAACTTCTCAGAGTGCGCAGCAAGTCTTCCTCCTAAGCTATTCTTTTCCAAAACAGTCTCTAATGATAACGCAGTGCCACAATGCGTACTTTCAATTTAAGTAAGTAGAATACTCACTTCATAATTTTACTGTCTAATGGAAATTGCAGAGTTGCTAATCAATGTGTCCTCCATAATGCACTTCTTACAATTGTTTTGAAAGCTTCTGAGTATGCACTTATGTCAGATATTTAATTGCTTCAGGTCTTAAGCGCACGTTGATGTTACTTATGAAATATTTTAAGTCATCCAGGTCTAACTATACAAGAACAACAATCTTCCAATAATACAGAATAGTTACTCATCAGGTACTGCAGATTTAAGATACACTCAGATTGCAAAACCAATTTTTAACAGCTAGGAAACACTTTTTTCTCATCTCATTCAAAGCAAAGCTATCTACTCCTTAGCCACTCTGCTGTAATTACACTGGAATTGACTGTAAACATAAGGCATTGATTTGATCATGGGTGATTTTATCTCATCCTTTCCTAATATCTGAGTCTTTTCTGAACTTTTCTCCAGAGCACATCTATGAAAGAAGGTTACAAACTCTGTGACAGAGTACACAAAGAAGTGTCAGTTTTCTGGGGAGCAGTGTAGTGTGTAGTGCCTTGATTTGCCAGAAATTTTAATACCATAAATATTTCTGGGCCCAGTTCCCAGTGATTTACATTGCAGCTGTGAAGTTCAGCCCTTCTCTAAAGTCATGCCATTTCATTATGTGCATTCAGAAAATGAGCAATATACAAACAGAAGCTGCAGTTGAGAAGTGAACTGTCCAGCACAACACATCTCCCTAGGACAGAACAGGGAACAGTCTGACAACTAACACACTATAGCTGAATAAATACTGGAAAAAAAGTATACTCCTAGGTAAATAAGTCCTGTGCAAACTTACTTGCTTAGAATAGATGAGAACCAGTGAACTCACTAATGTAAATTGTAAGTGGGCAACATATCAGCTATGCCCCTGGATGGCATCCAAACTCTCTAAACAGAATTCAAATACTTTAAAAACAAAATGATTCTTCCTTTCTTTGCGTCCCTTTTCTCACTGAATATCTAACCAACTTCATTCATGACAGAAGTGATTACTTCAAGGAGCTTGACTTTTCTCATGTACTGAATGGTAAAGAGATCATACTGTTAAACATACGGCGAGATAATTATATATGTGAGCAGACACTGTCAACAAGATATGACTGCAATATCAGTCTGGCTTTTGACTTACAAAATACAGTGTTTTTTTCAGAGTACTTTAAGGTGTGTCCAAACTTCAAAAAAATCAAATACAGAAATTCCATCATATGGAACCACAGTTATTCCTACGTACATCATCCATTCATTTTAAATTTTCAGCAAAAAATACCTGCAACAAAGTGAAATGAGCACTACAGTGCTGCCCTCCACTACAAAGTCCAATAAGTACCTTGTGGTAAAGCATATGTTTTGCAAGGTATTTATTTACAAAGAAACAGGGAAAAAAACGCTTAATTGAAATATGTGCTTCTTGGATTCCATTTCAGACTCTGAATTCTTAAATAATTAAAGATCTACCAGTGCTGGTTAAGTCTTCACTCTCTTCTCTTCTTGCCATGTTGTCCTACTTCCCATGCTGTCTGACCGCTCTTCTGAGCACTACAGGAAAAGGTCAAGCCAGCATAAGGCCAGCTGACGGAAATCCGCCTACTTACTGCGCTCGTTGGAGGGGCTCCAAGCTGCTCACACCACAGTCACCACTGCATTCACCTGGCTTACAGAGTTCACGTCTCACGGAGTTCCCTTTCTGGCTTCCTTAACCTCTTTCTGCACTTTGGTCCATGTACCACTTCTTCACCTATGGCATGAAGAGTACAAGAGAATACGTCTTCCTACTCGAACGACATAGAAAGGATGTAGGATGTATGTGAAGGATGCATCTTTTATTATAAAAGCGCTGTTTAGCCTAGCTGTTAGTAACACAGTAAACAGCACAACCAGCGCAGTGACAGTGCAATATATAGCAATGCATAATGTAAAAGTTGAGAGGTGACACGCACCTCCTCACTGGTGTTTCTGAACTGGGGGGAGGATTCAGGTTGCGTTTTTTATCGGTGAAGCCCATTATAATCAAATTGCCGCACACCCCCGCGCCTCGGACGTTCAACCAGTCCCTTATCGACCTCAACCACACCAGGGCGACAGGGCAGAGCAGGCCCAGCCCGTCCCCTCTCCTCCCTTTACCCCTCCGCCCCCCCCGGGGCGCCGTCCCGCCCTGCCCTGCCGCTGACGTCCCTCCGCCCGCGGCGCACTGCCGCCCTTTCCCGCCCCCAACGGCGGCGCTCCCTGTGGCGGAGCATGGCTCCCCCCGCGCCTCGGGCGCTGCTCCTCCTGCTCCTTCTCCACCGCCTCGCCGCCTCCTCCAAGCTCAACATCCCCAAAGTGCTGCTGCCCTTCACCCGCGGTACCCGCGTCAACTTCACGCTAGAGGCCAGCGAAGGCTGCTACCGATGGTGAGTGCAGGTGCCGCCGCTCTTTGTCCGCCACTTCTCCCGGCTGCACCTGCGGCGTTCCCTCCCTCCGCCCGGGGGGAGCGCGAGCCCCGACCTCCGGGCACCGCGCCGTGCCGCAGCGGGAGCCGCGCCGCCAGGCCGCCCGCCACGCGGGGTCACGTCGCTTCGGCGCTCCGCCTGCTCCCCGTGCGGAATCCCTGAGGGGAAACACCGTTCCCGCCCCGCTCCCACACGTGTCCTCGCACTGCAGCCTTGTTGCCGCTCACGCCCTGCAGCAGCGCAGGTGTGGGCACGCCGCCCGAGCTGCGCGCTCTGTTACCGCTGTAGAAATGCCCCTTCCTCGCTGAGTAAAGAGGGACCTCCGCGTCGGGGTTTGGTTACCAAGGCGAGCGAGGGACTGAACGACAATTAGCTGTTGCAGATTTAGAAACTGTGTCGCGGCCTCCGTGTTAAATGAGTGCCATCAGCTCCTTGTCTCCTATTTAATATACCTAGACTATAATTTATATGAGCAGGAAGTTTCTGTTGAAGAAACTGTGGCAGCCGGGATATGTTCAGGAGGAGGCCAAACGGGTGCTGGCAGCTTTCAGCTGTTATTTGGTAGCTGGCAGTTACTGAAGCACGTTGTTCTAGGTCTGTTTTCACTGTATCAGTTTATTTGTGCTATTACCCTTCCCATCCCTGTGTAGTTCCATGGCTTAGGTCTGTGGTAACTCAGGTGTTATTCCACGTATTGGAGCATCCAGAGTTGGCCGGAAGCAAGTTAGAGCCAGCTGCACGTGGTGTTGTAAGTTACTTACATGGACGGCTTTAGTGGCAAAGTGCAGGGATTTTCCTTTCTGTAGGAAATCTTTGGAGGTAACTGAGTCCTTAAAGGCTTTGTTGTGGGGGGTGAAGTACATTCTAGAAAGTAGGAACAAACTCATCTAAGTACTAGTAAAGTCTGGGAAGTGTGGGCAGCCTTCCCTGTTCTGCCAGTGACCAGCTGGCTGGGCTGGCTGCTGCCCTTCCTGCACATGCCAGACACTGTCAGAAGTATGTGGGCATCTGTATATCACACGAAGGATGGATGGATAGATGGATGGATGGACGATAAGACTGTGCTCTAGAGAAATGCCATACTTGGTCCATTAGAGAGAGATCAAATGAGAGTGATCTGTAGTCATTACAGAGCACATTATGCTGGTAGTTTGCCATGAGTCACATACCTTGTGCACATTGGCTTCAGCAGTTTCCATCCTCTATGTCTTTAGAGATAGATTTTGGTTGAGAATTAAGGAACCTATACCAGCTTCATACAGGATGCCATCGCTTTCTGTACTGGGGTTGTAAATGTGTTTTTGCTCACTTCTGCTTTGCAGGGACTGGCAGGATGTGGGTGGTAAAACTCAACATGTGCTTGCAAAACTGTCAGAAGGAAGCAGTAGCTGTGTGTGTGGGACTGAGCAAAAGCAGTAATGCTTGTCATGCTCTGAGTGTGCTTGCTAGACTGCATCTGCATCTCTCTGCATCCTTGCCCTTGCGAGCCTTGAGCTGCAGGGTATTAGAAAGAGATAAAGACTGCAGAGGCAAGTCTATATTGACTTGCTGACAAGTTTCCTGTACTTTATGAAAAGGCTGTTGGTAGTAGCTGCTAACGGAGATAGGCCATTAAGCTGCAGAAGTTTGGAAGTACCAATATAATGAGCTCAGAAGTAGTGATCATATCTGTAAAATAAGAGTTAGGTTTGCGTGTGTAAAAGCAAAAATTAGACATTTCGGGCTGTTGATGTGTCTGAGGAAGGAAGGAACTGAGGTTGTCTAATGCAGCTGATTGTAGGGTGGGAAGTAGCATATGAAACCTGCTCTCATGTTATGAGCATCTGTCTTCCAGAGTTGTCCTTTGAGTATTAAAAGTGCAGCTTTAGTCATGCCAAGCATCCAGGGTCCATGCCCCATTTCTTATCTATGATATGTTGTGACTTAATTTCTTCTAGTTTTCCTTTGGAGTTTATCTCTCCATGTTTACCTCCGAAAGCAAAATGATCAAAATGATCACTGTGATGCTGAAAATTCCTCAGATGTTTTTTTTTAATTTTTTTTATTTTTTTTAAGGTGCTTGTGCTTTCAGGTCTTAGGGTTCCTCTTTCCTTCCCCTCTTTCCTTCCCCTCTTTCCTTCCCCTCCTTCCCCTCTTTCCCCTTCTCTTTTTAAAGCTTTATTTTCAAACACAAGGCTTTCCTACCTGTAAGTTTTGTTCATAGTACTGTCTTCTGGGATAAGACAGCCTGTGCGGATATATTCAGCACTTAAATCACATTTTTGTTTTTTAATTACCTTGATCCTGAAGTTACACCTGGCAGATTGAAAGCATTGAGAAGGAGAATTCTTTCCTTGAAATCTGCCTCAACATAATAACAACTGGAGAGAGTGGACAGCAAAAACATTTTCCCTGAAGGCATACAGTATGGCAGGATATTTCTAGCAGAAGTTATGTGTAGCATCTATATGTGTTGACATGTTTGTAACAGTATTATTTCATGTCTTCAAAATTGTGGCTTATGGTAAGAATCAATGGAAAGTTGAGCTCCTGAAGTTAGCTTTGAGAAATACTACTGATTAAATTTAGATCGCTACGGTCAGTTTGCTTATGGAAGGGCTACAGCTATGCAAAGATGATAGTGGCCATGTAATGCTTGTTGCCACTGTGATGATGGTGAGCTGATTTCTCTTGAAAGGTTTTGTATATGCTGCTGAGGATGCTGGTGGCAGAACTGAAGCTGCTGCCCTCGTGGCAGGGTGCTGGCTGAGATACAGTGGCTCGGTGCTGTTTGGGCTGTCATGGATGGTGCTTTCTGAGAAACCAAAGCCTATGTGCAACGCTGCTGTTGCAATAGATGGCTGGCAAAGCTCGTTCTCTGACTCCTTATCTTGCATTTCTGTTATTGGTTTGTAAATTTGTCTTATCACTCCGTGAGATATATCTGATGGCTTGCAGCGTTCTGTAATAACACAGCAGGGTTGCTGACCAAGTCTGTAACCTTGTTTTGCTGCTGACAATCTAAAGATATTCGGCTTTTTCATCACTGCTGTTGTTTCCTGGATACCTGTGTTAGCAGGAGTCTACAGAAGCCTTGTCTTAGTTTCTAACTGAAAAGTTCTAGTGTGAGACACTGATTGTCACTTCCTTTGCTATAAAAATATTCGTTATGTAGTGATTGTTACTGCCTGCTGTTCTTACCCCTTCCTTTGGTTTCCACCTGCACTGCATTTCCTCCTGGTAGGGCCATTGTAGAGGGTGGCAAAGCATTCCCTCTCCTCTGGGAGGTGCCCACCCTTTAGTGGGTGCTTTCTCAGCTCCATTGGGAACTCCTGTGGATGTAGAATCAGCTCAGGATCAGCCTGAGGTTGGGTACAGAGGCAGGCTGTGCTGCTGTGGCCCTGCACCATCAGTGTTACAGTGGTTTGAAACCAGAGAGGGTGGCATGAGAGCCTGGTATATTTGTTTTGTCAGAACTGAAGAGGTACAATAAATAGTTGTGCTTTTTCCCTTAGCAGATGTGTTAACCTGCAGTGCAGGTTTACTCCTGGGGAAGCTTCTTCTGAGTCGGAGCACGTCCTGCCCAGGAAGGAGGACAGGGAGAGCAGGCATTCATGTTTCTTGTTAGTTTGGCAGCTGTCACTGCTGGACATCTACGAATCGCTCTACAAATTTTGCTCTCATGTGGATGTGGATCATCTAAGATTGAAGGGTGTCTACATATGACAAGGTTTCAGAGGCTGGATAGTCTGAAACAATGCAAAATGCGAAGTCTGTTTCAGAATGAAACTACCATTTTTAACTGACTTTTCTATTTTGAAATCAGGTTAAGGTAATATCAGAAAAACGCATGTAGGGAAACCTTTACTTGTTGCATTCTTTTAGTTGCATGTTTGCAGTTCAAAAACACCAAGCTGACTAGCAGGGGGACAGTGCAGCATGCTATTTCCCCTCCTGCAGGCAAGACACAAAGGTAAGCACTTGCAGTAAAATGCTTTGGGCCACCTGTTGATTTGATAAAGTATGCAAGTTAGCTGGGCTGTGTCGGATTGTGAAAACAATCACCACTGGCTAACTTGGCCTCCTCTGAAGTTAATGTCACGTCAACTGATCACTTTATACATCTCGTGAATGAAAGCTTCATTCTTGGCTCATTTTGTGGTGTGTGATGTTTCCATTTGCCTTTAAAGCAGAACTGGATGGAGGATTTCTTGCTGCTTTTTGCTTTCCTAGTGTATTTCAAAAATCCTATGAGAGGACTGAGTGAGCAATATAGATAATCTCCCACTGGATAGTTGCAAATCCTTAAGATTTGAGGCGACTCTACCAGATTTCCTCTGTGTTTGTTTTTTTTTTTCTTTTTTTTTTTGGAGTGGGATCAGTTTCCATATCCTCTATTCTCTAGGAAAATAGTTTTTATCATATAACTACAGTTGCCTGTATGCTATTCTGCCTCGTGTTCTTTTTTGTATGCCAGCAGTGTTAGCCTCTAGAGTGGGCTAACGCTGCTGGCATACAAAACGAGCAGAAATAAGGCAGTTACTGCATTGGTCAATCTAGTCCTATGAAACTCCTTAAAACCTTTACTGTCTGCTTTCTCTGGTTGTGCATCTGCCTACTTACCTGAATATTCTGAAATATTCAATTTGGTTATGGTACATCTCTGCAAAGGTGGATTTTTGCTCATTTAATCAGTTACATTTAGTCCAAAGATCTGACAAAGCAATGTAATATGTGGAAGCAATGCAAATCAGTAGTGTTTTCCTGGATGTAGGGAAATAATGTTTGCCTTGTCTTTAAACCAGCTGATAAGATTAAATATAATCCTTGAAGTATTCGTATGTGATATCACAGAACAGTAAATAAAAATACAGGAATGGAGCTGGATAGATCCATAGGTGTAATCTTGCCACTCAGCTCTGTGTCCAAGAGAGAAAAGCTTATGAATGAAATGGAAATAAGTGAGAGGGCTGGCTGTCATAATTGCAACTTCTGTCAGTTTTTCCATAAGTAGGGGAAATAAATATTGGCACTTCTCTTTGCTTTTTTTCACCTCCACCTCATCCTTTTTTTCTAGTTCCCCCCCTCCCCCCCCACCTCACTCCTCCTAGAGGCTGATATGAGATTGAGAGCTCATGCCAGACATGCTTCCCATTGCTTGCTTCTCAGGATCTAATTTTGACCTCTGACAAGCCTAGCTTTCAGAATATATCACACACTGGTGTGCTGCTGAAGACCTGCTGTAAGTGGAAGATGATATAATTTGCACTCTTTTGTGTCATTTTAAAGTAGAAGTTTCTTGTCTGTCTAGGACACAAGAGCGAGCCCTTTATGTCTTGCAGCAGAGTAGTGCCACTATAATATATAGCCTACTTGATTATGCCTTATGCTTTCTGTGCTTGACCCTGACTCGGACATCTGAAAACACAATGTGTTTTTTTGATGTTGACAAATGATACAGAGGGTTCATCAAATATTTTGTGGTCTTGGTGTTTAAAAAAACAAGCAAGCAAGCAAGACAGAAATCAGGCAAATTGGTTTGTGGTGTTAATCTCCGTAGGCCCTACGTCACCTACCCAGTTCAGGTACTTGCCTCAGATAAGCAGGCATCCTGTCAGCTGACACTACATTTTTGATTTTATTACTAAGAGTTAGCCCATATCCAGCCATAAAAGCTTAGAATTTTCTTTATAATTGTAGAGCTTATCTATGTTTACAGCTAAAATTTAACTCAAACTATTTCTTTGTTCCTTTTTCTAATGTG